GATAATACAGCTTCTACTCCTGGTAGCACTGATGCGTAGAGAAGGGATCTTCTCAGTGACTGACTGAGCTTTTTGTTTACCCCTCGTCTGAAGGCTGGAAGCAACAGCTCCTCTCAATGTGCATTTCCAGGCGTATGCAACGTGAGATAGTCGACCGCATCGTAAGCTCCACACCGGTCGCCCTTATACCCCCAGCCAGTTAAATCTAAGTAATGTGTGTAGAGTATTGGTCTTCAAAAACATGAGAATTACTAAAACACTGCCTGAAATTTAGGCAGTTGAGGATAGGAAACTTCAGCTGGCTAGCGTCATCCACCATTGGACATTGTTTTACCGAGCAAAGGGGATAAGAGTAGCAACCCACCTTCATCACCTCCCTCACTGTCGGTCACTTTCACCCAATCGCAATTTTCAAAAAGCTTCTTCAGGTCCATATCAAGGTCCTCCATCACCTGTTTTCTCATTGAAACAATACGCTTATCCTTTGAGCTGTTTGGGTACTTCCTCGCACCGGATCCGGCCGAAACCTAAACACAGTTCAACATATACTTGGTAATATTATTTGGAAAGTTTTTTTCGTGACGGTCGAGTAAGGATTTAAGTAAAGGAAGTTCAAACCAAAACTAAACAGGTAATCATGAAGACTCACAGGCAATGAAGGTGGCATCCTAGTTAAGGTCCCACAATTGTTTAAATAATCTAATGTGTTTGCGACAAGGTAACGCGCTATGAGTAAACACATAAATGTAATTATATTTACAACTTACTTATAGTTTATTGGGTGTCACAAATTTGGACTTTTTTTACTTACTTTTTAGTTTATTTAGTTTTTTGATATTCTTGACAAAGAAAGCATTTGGTGATTAGGAGGTCGTCTACTTCAAATTATGTGGGATGCAAATTATTGTTTTGGAGTAAGACTAGTATATTTCGAGGCGCAAAGCACCGCACACACCTTCAATTTACATGTGCGACAGTTTGAAGTTGATTAATTTTATTTACTATACTTAATTTACTTCAGTTTATTTTTCAGTTCTTTATTTTGTTTACTATTTTTATTTTTGTTTGAGATTATTTGTAAAGTAAAGTCAGTTTAGCTTACTTTATCGTACGTTTTTAGTTACTTGACTTTAGTTTTAGTTAGTTATTTTTTTTATTTATTTATTTCCCAATATTTGCATACTTACAAATTTTAATGATGGCGCACTTTTGTTGACGAAGTTTAGGGCATTTAAATAATTGATCCTGCTTTATTAATTTTTATTGCTATTTTCTAATTTTTAATTAATATTTCCTTTCCTTTGTATTGCCCAGGCTGTTCACTCTTTATTTCACCCAGTTTTGTATTACAGAAGGATGGGCTTTCGCGTGCTTATCTGGGACCTAAACTGGGATTCTACCGCAAAAGCTAAGTAGGACGTCAGAGGATTATAATCAGGCTGTACAAATAATACATCATGTGCCAAATGTTCCAGAAGAAAAGACCCTTGGCTAAGATAAGAATATGTGCCTAGTCCCCGCTAGGGGCTTCGGAAATGAGGTAAGATTTACAGATTCGCTACTTGCTAGGATACATAATTGTTCACCCCAGTTATTAAATAATCTAGTGGAATTCAGAGACTCTTAGGAGGTGGAGGTGGGCGAACTCGTAGATGGAAAGGAACAAAAGGATTTAGCAATTTCACGAAGGACAAAATGCGAAGTTGTAAAAAACCTAAATGGGATTACTAAGGTCCGCTCTGCAAATTCATCTTATAATAGCACTTCTGTTTTCTTATAAATAGCCCCCTCGTCCCCGTAGTCCTTATATCTACTGGTCAAATTCTTTTCTTTTCCCCGAATGATGCGGGGATGGATGAAAGATCCTGAAGAATTCAAGTTGTTTTCCACTTAAACGGGCGTCGACTGGATAGCTAAAGCCATGCCCTCTGTCCATTGCACCAAATGCTTCCGAGAAGAATTAGCAGATCCTACAGAACAGCCTAATTTACAATGATACTACTGGCAATATAAATAGGAGCGGTTTGGAACCAGGTGCATCTGTTACATTTACAAGAAGCTTTGGAGGGTCCGCGATAGCCACAAATTACACACGACGTATTTTTGAAATGTCGGGTAGTAGTAGTAGTAGGCACCCAGACTTGCATTTTGTATAGGTCTCTCCTCCTTTCGATCAACGTCTAATTTGATTGGGATCCGCACAAGCTTATCCTCTTTGTATATAAACAAATATCCAATGTCTGTTTTCTCCGCGGGTGATGGTCTGGTAACAGACGAGGCCTCACGGGTTTTCGTAGGTTTGCAGATCTGCGGCTCGACCTAGTAAGTTAGCAGAAAGAAATAAAAACTGAGTAAGGTGGTGGTGGGCAACAAATACATAAATTATATCTAAATTCGCTTGGGAACTGCAGTGGAACCTCGGTTAACGAGTTTAATCCGCACCAGCACCGAGCTCGCTAGGTAAAACACTAATTTTGCGTAATGTAACCAATCAAACTGCAGCAGTGCACTGATTGGCTGCAGATGACCGGGGAGCTGCGCACTGGGAGCAAGCCTCAACGGTGGACGCGGGGACACACACACACACACACACACACTGAAAACAAGTTAACTGAGCGGAAGCTCGTCAATCTTTCTGCGAGTGTTTCGCTCGTTACCTGAAATGCTCGTAGATGGAGTTGTTCGTTACCCGAGGCTTTACTGTACGTACGATGGGTTTTGGCTATTGGAGTCAGGCTGACATCAAATGCCGTGACCCGATTAAATGGCTCGCCCGAAAAACATAAAAAGACCATCTGTATTACAGGAGAAGGGTGGTTTCTACTGGGGTTTCTTACTCACGCTTATTCATAGCAAGTCCCCGAGGGGTGCTTTCACGAACGAAGTATACCTTATTCCCATCACTCCTCCTCGCTCTACACTGACGACCTACGATTGCCAACTTAATGTTTGAATGCAAAATATTGCTGAAAGACGTCAGACACACCTCCATGTTGTGAAAGATGGCCAGGATCACATC